TCGCTGACCAAAACCTATTGCTACAAGACCTGTCTGACTGCCACATCGGGCAGCGACACCTTCATGTTCTACAACACAGGCCGGCCCATTAGTGGCACCTGGGGCTCAGAACGCTTCTTTACTGGGGGAAGTGGATTTGTTCGCAGGCTTAGTATGCCAGATGCAGCAATACAGGTGTGTCTCATCACATATCTTATATTAAATAAATTAATAAACAATAGCAAGTAATAGTAATAATCTTGTCTAATTTATGGCTAGATATTTTAAAAACAAATCAGAAGATGCTAGACATTCAGTGAAGAACAACTTTAAACAATATTAAATGTAACAAAAAAATTATGTAAATAATAAACACTAAAACTCATTGAATCAAAATAATTATATGAGATGTATAACACTTCTAAATATGTCTTTTAATTGGTTTTCACTGTAAATTTATCCAGTTTATTTATTTAATATACATAGAAATGCAAATGAAATGGCACAATATACATGCTTTATCGTTCATTACAGAATGTAACCAGAAATAAAAGGTTTTTTTTCACTGCATTTGGTAACCCTTATAAAAATGAACCTTGTTTTAATTGTATTGACTGTAAAAATCATGCATTTTGCAGATTTTTTAACATTTGTACAAATATCTACTATGATTAGTGTTATAAAATAAGGAATAATTTCTTGGGTTTTACATAAATAACCTTGTCTTTTTGTGTTTTTTATTTTGTAGTAAAAACCATGATTCATTTCAGGGAAACTAATGTGATAACATTTTTTGCTGTTTAGTATACTGATATTTAGTTGCTAAACAATATTTGATTATATGCAGCTTAGTGTGTGATCAAATCGCATTTTACAATGAAACTTTACAGCTGAAGTCAGAATTATTAGCCCCCCATTGATTTTTTTCTTTCTTTTTCAAAAATATCCCAAATGATGTTTAACAAAGCTATGAAATTTTCATTTTGTCTGATAATATTTTTTCTTCTGGAGAAAGTCTTGATTTGTTTTGATTCGGCTAGAATAAAAGCAGCTTCACTTTAAAAAAAAAAAACAGTATTAAGGTCAAAATTATTAGCTACTTAAAGCTATGTTTTTTTGATAGTCTACAGAACAAACCATCTTTATACAGTAACTTGCCTAATTACCCTAACTTGCCTAGCTAACTTAATTAACCTATTTAAGCCTTTAAATGTAACTTTAAGCTGTTTAGAATAAATATCTAGTAAATATTATTTACAGTCATTATGGCAAAGATAAAATAAATCCGTTATTAGAAATGAGTTATTAAAACTATTATAGAAATGTGTTAATAAAATCTGTCCATTAAACAGAATTTGGGTAAAAAATAAACAGGGGGGCTAAAAATTCTGACTTCAACTGTATATACATTGTAAACCACAGTTGAGCAAAACTTTGTAGTCCAACTCTGGTTTCCAGTATGTTTTAGCGCAAAATGTAATTTAGTCAGACCAGGAACAGCAATAAAGCTCTATGCCCACGTGTCAGAAGCTTTTGACCTTGTCAACTCCTGTTGTACTGTGTAGTTATCTAGTGCAGCTTTACAGTGCTTTCCTTCACCATGCATTAGTGTCAAACATCAAGTTTTTCTAGAGTAGCGCATTGCATTTATGATGATTCAGGCATTTGCTCCCACATCTGAGGCTGTCATCACATTTGCAGGATTATTTCCTTCCTCCCACTGCCATCTCACTGTCTTTACTCCAAGATTATGTTTGCGTTTTTATATTATTTTAAATCCACCTAAAAAACGGGGAAAGTTTGATGCCAATGCCAACATTTGGCAATACAAAACAAAAACAAGATAGATTTTATTGTGCTGCCTGTTTGCAGTCATAGACACTGAATTGATGTTTTTTTGTCAGTGTAATTGGCATGAATTCATGTTCACTCTGTCAGCCATGGATTCGTGAAATGTGTTTTAATTAGCCAGAACATGATCCAAAGGCTGGGCGTTCTTGATCTCTCGCTCATGGGAAGCGATTTTGCAGATGGTTTTAAAAAACACACACCAAAAAAAAAAATAAATAAATAAATCTAAAATTGTCTAGAGTATGAGAATAGCTGGAGTTTGCTCCTGACAGCATCAGATCCTCTCAGATGTGCTGGTGAGAGGCAGCACAGACACTGCAGCACAGTCGACACTGCAGAGGATTTAGGAGCAGAGGCCGTCTGTCCGAGATAAGAGAGCAGGCAATGAAATTAACCTCCAGCCTTTGATTCTCTCAAGCCCTGCAAATTATATTGTGGAAGCGAGGCAGAGTCTCTTTGCACGCATTCTCTCCCCCCTGAATTCACCTGATTAAAGAATGTTATTTACTCAAATTATCTGGGCCATTCTCTAATGCCTCATCCTATTGCATACTTCCCAACCTAGATTTTTTTTTTTTTTTACTAGGGCGAATATAAAAAGAGTGGCAACTACGTGCTTGTGCTCTCCCTCTGTGTAGGAGCAATTAATTCATTCACTGTGTATTGCAGGAGGAACAGATGACCATCTTAATGCTGATGCCTTGTATTCGGTTACAGTGGTCATCTTGGCTAGTGCACAGATTGAGTTGCTCTGGTTGAGGGCAGAAAATGCTCTGGTATCATGTTACATGAGGTCAGCTGGTATCCCAGGATGATATCATCCATGTTGCATGAGAAATAGGATGGATGTTGGGAGAGGAAAGACATTTAGAACTTGGTCTTGAGTAGAAGGGGTGCGGATTTATTTGAAAATGTGCGATAATTGCTTGGGATGCACAGTATTGCAATATTTATTTTAATTTCAGATAACATTGGGACACGAAAAAAAGTAATTTCCTCAGCTGCAAAATATGGACTTTCCAGCACAGAATTGTAATTTTATATCTTGCTTTTTCAATTACATGTATGTGAAAAAATCGAAATATTGGAAAACAAAACAAAGCAAACATGCGAGAGCTTTTAAATTCATAACAAAGTCGAGAAATAAGGTTTCAATTTTGAGAGAAAAGGCATTTTGAAATGGGAGATATTTTACAGATTTTTTTCTTGAAATTCCAAGATTCCTTCTCTTAATGTTTTCCTCAGAAGTGTAAATTCAGTGTTTTTTTAATTGTTAGAAATACACTACCAAGAAAATGTTTGTTGTTAGTAGGACAATTTAATGTTTTAAATTAAGCATATGCTGCTCACCAAGGCTGATTTTTTTAAATAAAACATACAGTAAAAATTGTAAAATTGTGAAATGTTATTGCACTATAAAATAGCTGTTCAAAAGTAGTTTATAGTTTAATTAAATAATTTATTCCAGTGATTTTAAAGAGGAATTTTCTGCTTCATTAATCCAGTCTTACTTTGACCATGATCCTTCAGAAATTATTATTATAATAATAATAATAATTATTATTATTATCATCATCATTATTGTTAATGGTTATAGTAATAAAAGCAATAATGACTGAAGTAATATGTTAAGCAGCTTTGACACAATATACATTGTACAATTATAGAAATAAACATGAATTGAATTGAATGAATAATTTCATTTGAAACTACATACAATAAGAAAGCAGTTATTCAAAATTGTAATACATATTTAACAATTTATTTACATTTAATAAATGCTTCCTTGATAAAAAGATTAATTAAAAAAACATAAAAAAAAAAAATTGGCCCCAAACTTTTAACTGATATATTTAACTGAGTGTAAATTCAGAATTGTCAGAAATAATTGAACTATATATATATATATATATATATATATATATATATATATATATATATATATATATATATATATATATATATATATAATTTAAACAAATTTAACAATTCTTCCGTTTGCTTCTCTCAATTCTAAATTTTCTCACAGAATTGTGTTTTTATTTATTCTAGTCACAAGGAACTATAGCATTTACAGTACTTTTTTATCCTAATCGAAAGGACAATTGTAATACATTAACATAAAATTGGGAAAAAATGGTCACAATTTTGAAAAGCAAAATTTGATTTGCAAGATAAAGTTAAAATTCTAGAGAAAAAAATGACAGTTGTGAAAAATAAAAAAAAATCTGATTTATTTATATTTTTGCAATTTTGAGTTTAATTAAGTTATTTTTTCAATCAATATTGTATATTTAATAAAATGTGTAATTCTGATGTACAGTATATCTCCAAGCTGCTAGAAAACAAGTCACAATTATTATTTAGAAATGCATAATTGTGAGAAATAAGAGAAAGTTAAATTCACAAAGTAGTTCGAATTCTTAAAAGAAAAATCTGAACTGAGTAAAACAAACTTTGAATTCTCGCAATTCTGAGTTTACATCTCTGACGTCTCTTTTTATATCTCTTAGAATGTTTATATTTGTAAGATTGAAGTCAGTATTGTGACATGTGAATACAGAATTGTGAGACAATTTCAGAATTGCGAAATACAATTCAGAATTTAAGAGATGTAATAATATTTCAAAAGTAACATATTGATCCCATGGCAGAAATGGGTTGTGAACTGAATTCAGGCATCACTTATTGAAAAATTTCAATTTACATTTAACAGTATCAATAAAAGTCAAAATATTTAAAGTATTTTTAAATAGCTAATGTAAACAAGCAGAAAGGATAATGTACAATGACGGATACATTATCAACATATATTTTATCACATAGTCTGCAAGTTTGCAATATTGTCCTTCCCTAGTAATGGAGATATATATTACATAAATATATGTATGTTATTAGGTGAATATCAGCTGCCTTTCATATGTGTTATTATAAAGAAATCTCTCTCCCCAAACACTCTTTTTGGGTTTATAGCAGTGAGTCATGGGCAACGGCCTAGTGCCAGTAATCATCCCTGTAGTCCTGGTCTTCTTTAGCTGTGGTTCATATTAAAATGCAAGACACAAACACACACGCACACACACATGACTTATTGATGAGACTGTATCTAACCCTTTTCTGTCTTTCCACCCCTTCATTCCCTCTATCTCTCTCTTTCTCTCCTTCTCCAGCCCAAAGGCCCAAATGCTGACTGGCGTTACTCTGCGTCGCTGAGGGCAGGAGTGCAGAGGTAAGCAGTTTTTGCTGTTAATAATGTCCTGAAAGAGTTACAGTCCTCCCTGAACTGATATGGAACACATCTCTAAATGTCAAGTGTTTACTGCAGCAGGCCATCGTTTGGTAGCTGAAGCTTAAACATGCTGTGAATCATTTTCCAACTCTAATTTCCTCATTTCCTTGATTCACCATAATCAGATCTCAACCTTCAGTGTCATTATGCTGGAAACCATCTTGTTTGAGTCTAATCAAATTGAAGGGAGAGCATAAGCTAAAAGGGATCCTCAAAATATTACCCATATTGTACAGTAGTTATAATGTGTTGTTATAATGTTTTATTTGCTGATGTGGTTAACATGAACTAACCATGGAAAGTAATTTTACTTGAGTTAATTATTATTTATACATCTACTATGTTGGAATATCTGGCCAATTCCATACATGTTCAATAAAAAAGGTCAGGAGAGGATTTTCTTCAATGTCAAAAATATTAGTAATCATTAGACACAGACTGATTCGATGACAGAGCTATGGGTTACGTTACACCAATGCAATACAAGAATTACATTCAGGAGGTGCTCAAGAAATCTACATATTCCTGGTATTTATACACAACTGATATTAATAGAAGGAGTTTTGGTGGAATTTATCATTTGTCAGTCATTCTGCAGTCTTTTGGCAGTTGCACCCAAACATACTTCCAAACATACGCACCAGAACTGAACAGTTAAATGCATCTGTTTTGGGGCCCGATTGACCCCAATATAATTTCCATCTATAGCAACCCTTGCAAACACACAGCTCTTGAAAACTTTAGGCACATTTCACTTCCCTGTTCCACTTAGAGAAGAAGTTTAATTTAATCTATTTCTAGGTAATAAATATAAAAATAAAAGAGACATAAAAGCAATAAAAAATAATTTTCCCTAAAAACTAATATGTTTGTAAATTATTATTATTTTTTTATTATTTATTGGGTTTGAGTTAACATTAACTAACAATGAGCTGTATTTCTCTGCATCTAAACACCTGGATTTGATTTTTAGACCTAACATTCCATTAGACATAACATTTTTAAGTACATTCTTGTGACTAAATTAAGGTTTTCTTACTTTTGAAAGTGATAAATATGTATTAATACTGACTGAACTCTGCATTACTGCATTACCTTTCACAGACAATTATACCTTGTCATGTCAGCCTTTAAAAGACTACAAAATATAAAACACATACACACAAAAAAAAAATACCTAAACGCTTGGCGTTTGCTTCCATAATCAGTGGGTACCGTCTAATTTGTGGTTACTAACATTCTTCTAAGTACAACCCATTTTATTATAGGTTGTGGTACCTCTTTGACTTTAATTGTAATACTTTAACTACCAGACTTGTTTGACTGTCTTTATATTTCATTTTAGAATTTCTTATATAATTGTTTTGTTTATATTTTCAGTTTTTATTTTTGTTGTTTTATTTATTGCAGTATTTATTTTTTGCTTTTTTTTACTAATTAAGTTGTCTATGAAATATTTATAAAATGTACAGAACAATTATAACTGCAGGCATCGTGGCCTCACAGCATGAAGGTTGCCAATTCGAATCCCATCTGGGCTGTGTAGTGTTTGCATGTTCTTCCCGTGTTCATGTGAGTTTTCTCCGGGTGTTCCAGTCCAAACACCTGCACTAGGTGAACTGGTAGAACTAAATTGGTTGTAGTGTATGAGTGTATGTGTGAGTTAGAGAGTGTTAGAGTGTTTCCCAGTACTCGCTGCGGCTGGAAGGGCATCTGCTGCTTAAAAAGATATGAGTAGGTGGTGGTTCATTCCACTGTGGTGACCCGTGATTAAAACAGGGACTAAGCTGAATGAAAATGAATTAATGAATGAACAATATAAAATATTAAAATGTTTTGTTTATGGTCACTGCATAAAGCCTAATGCATGTTAATAACATTTCTTCTTATTGTAATATCTTTAATCCAGTTATCAGTGCCACAAAGAAATTTATAACTATATATACTTATATTATAACTATATATACTTATTATTATTATAGCTATTATCTTAACATAGCTATTACTTAATTTATACTTAATTCATAGCTTAATTTTCGAATATACAGTACTAGAATTAATTGATGTTAATTTTTTAATATTTTAACCCTTGAATAGTTCACCCAAAAATCAAAATGAATTATGACAGAACTTTAATTTTGGGGGAAATATCCAGCTAATATTAATTTATGCCAGTGCTATTTTAGTGTATTCTAAAATTTACAGTTTTTTATCACTTTATTGCACTTTGTAAGTTTTACATTGTTCTCATATTATCATTTTTTATATATATATATATATATATATATATATATATATATATATATATATATATATATATATATATATATTTTTTTTTTTTTTTTTAATAATTTTTTTATATTTATTTTATTTATTTTCTCGCTAAAAGCTAAAACCTATTTAACAATCTAGTATATAGGAAAAAGTAACATTGATTAGACTTTATAATTATTGAAATATTTTGTGCGTTGATATTTTGTTTAAACTAACGCCCTAAATAAATTATCCTTGCAGTGTCATTCAGAAATATATTTCACTTTATTCCAAAAAATAAATGAATAGTAATATAAATAATGATGAAGATAAAAAAAATAATAAAAATAATCTTAAAGGAAAAATTACAGAAGACAATAGAAGACGCATTAAGATCATCAAAGCCTTTGTCTACAGACTCTATATTAGAGTGTTATCAAAACAGCAGAACCGTGACCACCCAGAGCTCTCTGACTTCTTCCTGACCTCTTGCCTCTTTCTCAGTAGACCAACTGTGCTCTGTCTGCCTTCATCACGCACAAACACAAGCTCTGAAGCGTTTGCTAAGGGCCTTTCCCTGCAGTCTGATCTGGAGTATGTAGGTCATCATCATTCTCCACAGCAGATGCACAGTCCTTCACAGCCGAGCATAAAGGACAAGCCGGCAGATGAGATGATTGTGTGAGAGCAGCCACAGCCGATAACAGGGAAATTCACATCTCCAAGCACAAACACTGACAAAATGAGTCATCTGCGGAAATGAGAATCATTTATTCTGTCTCCAAATCTTCACACTAGCTATGCTTTATTCCAAAGCTGCTCTTTAGAAAACATTACTGAGGGAAGATTGAGTAATCAAGGTTAATGTTCTTTTTTTGTACACTTTTTTGTCATGTTATTTGTTTTGGTTTTTGATTAGCTGATTTTGTATGCTGACCTAGAGTTGATAAGCAGAAAATTTAGAAGTATTTGATAAGTATAATGAGTAAAATCTTTTAAAACGCAAAATATATTTTTACTCTCACTCTTCACACTAGATGTTTATTTAACTAGCTGTTACTTTATACAAAAAAAATCATTCATTCATTCATTCTCTTTTCGGCTTAGTCCTTTATTAATCTGGGGTCACCACAGCGAAATAAACGACTAACTTAACCAGCATATGTTTTACACAGCGGATGCCCTTCTAGTAGCAACCCATTACTGGGAAGCACCCATACACACACATACACTACAGACAGTTAACTTACCTAATTCAACTATAGCGCATGTCTTTGGACTTGTGGGAGAAATTGGAGCTCCCAGAGAAAATTCACGCCAACATGAGGAGAACATGCAAACTCCACAAAGAAATGTCAACTGACCCAGCCGAGGTTTGAACCAGCGACCTTCTTGCTGTGAGGCAAGAGTGCTAATCACTGAACCACCGTGCTGCCCAAGAAAAATATTTAATAAAAGAACAACATAGTTTTCATAACATGTTCAAGAAAATAAAAATCAGCTGTGACATTGGAGTGATGTGTGAATTAAAAAAAGAATAATTAATACAAGCTAAAAACCCACCCTATATATAAATCAGATGTATGGCAATATATATACACACACACTCATCAGCCACTTTATTAGGTACACTGTACTAGTACCGGGTTGGACCGATTTTGCCTTCAGAACTGCCTTAATCCTCCATGGCATAGATTCAATAAGATACTGGAAATATTCCTCAGAGAAGTTGGCCCATATTGACATAATAGCATCACGCAGTTGCTGCAGATTTGTCAGCTGCACATCCATAATGTGAATCTCCCATTCCATCACATCCCAAAGATGCTCTATTGGATTGAGACCTGGTGACTGTGGAGGCTATTTGAGTAAAGTGAACTCATTGTCATGTTCAAGAAACCAGTCTGTGATGATTCACACTTTATGACATGGCGCATTGTCTTGCTAGAAGTAGCCATCAGAAGATGGGTACACCATGGTCATAAGGGGATGGATATGGTCTGCAACAATACTCAGGTAGGCTGTGGCATTGACATGATGTGCCACATTGATACTAATGGGCCCAAAGTGTGCCAAGAAAATATCCCCCACACCATTATACCACCACCAGCAGCCTGAGCTGTTGATATAAGGCAGGATGGATCCATGCTTTCATGTTGTTGATGCCAAATTCTGACCCTACCACCCGAATGTCGCAGCAGAAATGGAGACTTACAGACGAGGCAACATTTTTCAACCTTCTATTGTCCAATTTTGGTGAGCCTGTATGAAGTGTAGCCTCAGTTTCTGGTTCTTAGCTGGTACCTGGTGTGGTTCTCTGCTGCTGTAGCCCATCTGCCTCAAGGTTCGACGTGTTGTGCATTCAGAGATGCTCTTCTGCATACCTCGGTTTTAACGATTGTTTATTTGAGTTACTGTTGACTTTCTATCAGCTTAAACAAGTCTGGCCATTCTCCTCTGACCTCTGGCATCAACAAGGCATTTGCACCCATAGAATTGCTGCTCACTGAATATTTTCCAACCCTAGAGATGGTTGTGCGCAAAAATCCCAGTAGATCAGCAGTTTCTGAAATGCTCAGACCAGCCCATCTGGCACCAACAACCATGCCAAGCTCAAAGTCACTTAAATCACCTTTTCCCCCATTCTGATGCTCGGTTTGAACTGCAGCAGATCGTCTTGACCATGT